TATGTCAAGCGCTAAAACCAGGCGATTACGAAAGGCGCAGGACATTCTGTGAGCGGTATACCAGGAAATGTCAAGATTTGCCTCGAACAATAATCTGGACTGATGAAAGCATGGTCACTTATCATGGTATCTTCGATAGAAAAAATGCACATTATTGTTTACGAGAAAATGAACATTTATACATTACAGCGAGACACCAACACCGTTTCGGCTTTGATATGTGGGTTGCAATATTTGGTATACGAATTATTGGTCCTTTTATTCACCATGAAACACATACTTCCGAACGTTATAGAAATTTGCTTGAGAATCATCTTGAGGAAGCTCTGGATGATTCACCGATTGCGGAAGTTCAGAACTGTTGGTTTCAACAAGATCCGGTACATAATTCCAGAGAAGTCCGTGCATTTTTATCCAGAGAAATGGATTGGTACTCATTCTACAGTCCCTTGGCCGGCGCGGTAGCCTGATTTGACACAGCTGGATTTTTTCTTAGGGGATATATCAAAAACTTTGTAAACGCAAATTAATTTTGATGATGAAGAAGAACTAAGGGACAGTGTCATCGAAGCATTCAATAAAATAACCCCAGAAATGCTTAGTAATGTCTTAGAAGCAACTGTGAGAAGAGGATATCTTTATTCAGAAAATGATGGTTATCATTTTGAACATTTGTTATGAATGTCTCTGTAGGTATTGTCAAAGTTAAGTTGTTAAAGTAATTCGTGTAAGAATTCATCAACAATTTTAAACGCTGCATTGATCGAATGATTGTGTGAAATATTTTTCATTCACTTTTCAGTATTGAATAAATAATCCATCAAGTTTGACACTAAATGATCAGAAATAAGTGGAACTGATGGCTTTTTTCCTTTGGAAGTTCGAAAAAACATTGATGATGGATGAAAATAGGTCGAAACACATTCGAATCACCTTGTATAGTACATGGTTGAATTTAGAATAAAAACACCTTTCAGAATCTGTGAAAAAGTTATCAGGACCGTATTCAAAGAACAAAAGTTGATGATGGTTCCACAAATTCGAAACGTCGCATAAAAAAAATCGGTATCACCACATTAAACGTCATCAAAAGTTGCTATGAAAAAGTATTCTCAGTTTTTCTGTATCTCTAATAATAACGGAGAAATGAAATAAAATAGAAATTCGAAAAATTCACTTTTTTCGATATAACTCAAAAACTAAGAATAATTTTCAAAATTTTCGAAGGCTCTTGATATGAGCCTCCAAATGCGCAACTTTTTTCCGATTTAAGCGACTTCGTATCTCCTACCCTTTCCGAGATCCCCATGCTGTTCAACCTTATCTTGGACAGACTGTATTTCCTTGCAGTCTTCGGAGAGTGATTGTCTGTCATTCTATTCGTGTTATATTCGAGAGCTCTTTATCAATCAAGATAATTTTCAAAGGTACTTTGTGGCGAAGTGTGAAAAATTGTTTACTTGAGTTTTTAAAATGGTGTACCTCAACTTTAGTGTTATTAATTTCTGGTTGACCTAAAAACCTCTTCCTGTGAAACTTACAATGATGAATTTTTTCATCACAGTATTCAATATCTTTCTTCATTGAATGACCACCTCACCGGTTATATCAACCTCTTAAATTCTATTACAGGGTGAATCGAAAAAACAAAAATTCACAAATTTGCCATTGAATAACTTACACCCTATATGTATAAGGCATTGCGTTCAAATGTTGTGTGGAGGTATTTGATCAATGCCTGAATCGAATAGGCTAGTCACTGTCATGAAAAAAAGTTACTAAATAGTCGTTCTTAAAATTTTGACCCCTTCCACAAACGAAAGTAGGCCTTGAAAATCTTAATTTCCCAGATTTTTTTATATTTTTGAATAGTGCCCGTTGGTATTTTCGTTTTTGAAATTCCGTCGACAGGTTACAAATTTGGAGGGTGTTGCGGGTTGAAATCGCACACACTGTATATTTCTCTTCTTCAAACATTTCTCATGACAAAGTATCTGACAACCTAATACATTTTGCTTTCAGGTCCTCTGATAGAAATTTTGTGGCAAATCATCTATTTTTTTCTTACTACACGTACATTGGAATGATACTCATATTTTTATTTCACAAAAACGAAGAGAGGAAATCTCAATAGGTCTGGAAAAATTAATGTACCACCTCCTTGATTAACCTATAGACAATGATTTTTCTCGTCCCATTGACTATACAAGGTGTATCTATAACACCGAAAAAAATCAAAGAGTGATTCCTTGTGATATTATAGCAAATAAAGTTCATATAAACATGTTTTTCTCCGATTGGCAGCAAATATTAAATTTTGCTGACACATATCAATCAGCGAAGTATTACTTTTCCTGCCTAGGCAGCAAAGTGGGTACTTTGGTGATTGATATGTATCAGCAATAGTTATTTGTTTAACTAGGCAGCAAAGTAGTAGATTGACTGCCGATGCTGAATTCATAGCCGAGCGTAGCGAGGCTAGGAATTCTACTAAGGCAGTCAATCTATACTTTGCTGCCGAGTTGAACATATAATTTTTTCTCCGATTGTTCATAATGATACAGGAGGATATTGTATTTGCAAATTATCACAATTCCCACAATCTCTTCTAATTTTTCCTGTAGTGTTCAATTAAAATAATGTCCATAATAATTATAGTTTGACAATTCATGAAATTTCTGACAGTTGTGCAAAAAAATATCATATGTATAAATTATTATATAATGGACAGTGATAGCGATCTGGAAATACTTACTCCTCCAGAAATAAGGGAGGTGGCAAAAAATATAGTGTTGAATTTGTTGCCGGAGAAGTCTCGGATGAAATATGAAAGAAATTATTAACGATTCATGGATTATTAATTTTGCTGACACATATCAATCAGCAAAGTAACCACTTTGCTGCCTAGGCAGCGAAGTACTCACTTTGCTGCCTAGGCAGGAAAAGTAATACTTTGCTGATTGATATGTGTCAGCAAGATTAATATTTGCTGCCAATCGGAGAAAAAATTAATAATCCATAAATCGTTGATAATTTCCTTCATATTTCATCCGAGACTTCTCCGGCAACAAATTCAACTCTATATTTTTTGCCACCTCCCTCATTTCTGGAGGTGTAAGTACTTCTAGGTCGCTATCACTGTCCATCATATAATAATTCAAATAATCCGATATTTTTGCGCACAACTGTCAGAAATTTCATGAATTGTCAAACTATAATTATTATGGACATTTCCATAGCAACCAACCATTCCAACAACTGCGATTTCTAATTTCATTTCAATTGAACATTACAGGAAAAATAAAGAGATATATATCATTATGAACAATCGGAGAAAAAATTATAGGTATGTTCAACTCGGCAGCAAAGTAGATTGACTGCCTTAGCTGGATTCGTAGCCTCGCTACGCTCGGCTATGCATTCAGCCTCGGCAGTCAATCTACTACTTCGCCGCCTAGTTAAACAAATAACTATTCTAACTTGCTCCGTTTTTGAGATACAGGATGTTGAAGTTGTTCAATCTAATGAATTTATGAAACTCAGAGAAACCGGTGGCGTACAATGACATTCACCAGGAATATCGGTAAATGTACCCACTGTGACGCCACTGGAAATATTATTTCGAATCTAATTAAGATATGGTACGAATATGCCGTCCTTCGGAGGAGGACGTTGAGCCGGCGGTCCAGAGGCCATGGATGTTGGACTTAACTTAAAGATCCCTACCTCTGGTTGGAACACTAGAGGATTCGGCAAAATTTCTGGTTGGGGGTAGTGTGCTTACCAACGTCGGTGATTAGCCTCAGTAGCAGAAAAAGGCCGACGTTGAAGAAACAAGGAAGAAGAAGAAGAATCTAATTGCAACAGAAGAAGCTCCATATTACTGCAAAACTCACAAAACTACCACGTGTCGTGTCATTGAAATTAATGAAAAGACAATTGAGTAATGAATGAAAAAACGATGTTTCATGGAGATAGCAAAATAGTGAGGACACATGTTCATATGAACTTTATTATCTAAAATATCACTAGGTGTCGCCCCTTGGAATTTTTTTCGTGTTATTTCAGATGAATTATTAGGTACCGTAGAATGGGAATAATTGGAACATTTTTCAGGTACGAATACAACGTGGCTCAGTTATTGTTATCATGGTAGGGAATCTTCCCTATCCTAAAGATGTATGAGTAGTTGTACTCTTGATTAAGTGTGAATACTCAATGTGAATAGTCAATAGTTGTACTATGATTATACAAATATTGATCTTCGCTGGTTCAGAAGTTGAGAAGATAGTTAAAAAATATATCGATATTCCAAGTTACCCGCAGATTTGAAAACTTGGAACAGGAGAACAAAAGTCTCGTTGTAGTCAATGTATCGACTCGTGAGCATGCTGAGTACATAAGTATTTCGGTTTCGGTTTGGTGACTAAGTAATCCAATAAATAAATTATTTCAAAGAGTATACATTACATACATACAATATAGCATTGACAGCAAATAGGACTAGTGAAATCTCATTTAACAAGGAAATATCAAAAATGAAGTGTTTGGTGGTGTTGGTAAGGAGTTTAGGGGGTTGTTGTAGGGTGGTGGATGGAGGGAAGGTCTTATCAGGTACCTGTTATGGCCACAAACAGGTAAGTACAATCATTCGCGAATAAAAACACAATTGGCAACACTGTTCAAAGTTGTGCAGTGATATCGCGGAATTTCGCTAGTGCAATGGTTACTAAACATAAATTACATGGAATGCACGCCGTATATTGAATCTATCATGTCTTTTGACTCGAAGCTTGTAATGCTATTTTTTTCTGTCATATCGCTGCTTGTAGTTTCAATATGATAAACAATAGTACATAATCATACTAAACAACTATGCACAATACGATGTTTCAAAATGCAAACAGCAGAGGGTAATTTGAAAATACGAAGTTTTGTTCCCATTTACCCCGCAGTTCCAAGTATCCCCATTCTACGGTAATATATTGTAAAATGCTCACCTTCTTTGGTAGTTGCAAACGTGTCTCCTGGCTCAACCTGCGTAAAAAACAAACTTGGCTTAATGAAAATCTTCGTACTGTATGTAACTTTCTTCTTTGGAAAATGTGGAAAGTATTGACCACTCGGGTCTGTCACGAACACTATAACCACCATTCAACATATCACTCCTAGTCTTAGAAGTTTTCCTCAGATTTGTCACACTTTCAGTCACTTCGAATGAAATTTCGCAAATTTTGTCACTGTTGGGTTATGTTAGCCGATTGTCTTATGGTTCTTTGTCTCTTGGCCATTGTTAATCGATCTAGTGGTTGATTATTATTCAAGTACCCATAAGTACACAGGAACAAGTCTCTATTTGGATAGAAATTACCATCTCAAATTGGCGTCTTTCTTAATCGATAGCATGAATGGGGGACATCAGATTGAATTTGTACCAGGTAATGAGGTTGTATCATAGAATGCAAACCATTTGTAGTGAGCAGAAAGGAGGTTCACAAAAGAAAAAGAAAGTGGAATATTTTTTTCTTATTGAGGCTTGAAACTTCTACATGAATTATTATCACTATATCTATCAATATCATTATTATTATTATTTCTAATATTATTACCTGCTGAAGTAATGCTCGCATTGCCGAACAAATTGCTTCCATCAGATATGAAATGTATCTTCATATACAGAAATTATCATACATAATTGAGTGAGAAACTTCTGAGAAATTCTAGAACATATCAGAACCACCTTGAACAATGTGGGAGGTTGTAGAACATTCTTGAATATTCTAATATCTTCACATGATATTATTGCTGGATATTTTGGAACAATAAGAACTTACTTCTTCATCTGGAAAGTTCTAGAACATTCTGGAATATTCTAGAACGATATACAACAATTCCGACTGAGTACCTATTATGGAAAATTTTAGAGCACTGTCAAATACCTGAAACTCCTTTTCGATTGTGAAATATATTTAGAATACTTACCTTCTATTAAAACAATTATTCTTTTTTTTCGTTCTGCATATTCTTCTTTCATGAATTAACCTAACCTGACAAATTGCATTCTTCATCATATCATTTGCGAATGTTTGACTATCAATCATGCAATTCAGATCCTCATTAAGTTTCAATCGAGAAACCCTCTATTCAATGGTGCGTTATTGAGTTATTCGATGAAATTCAGGGCGTTTAAATAAGATCAAAAATGACTTTTGGAGCTCTCAAAAACATTCAAACCGCAAGATATTTTTGACCACACTGTAAAAGAACTGATGAATTTCTTGATACCACTTCGATAATCATCATGTATAGATTAGCTCTGGTTGAAATTTGAATGATTCAATATTGAAAATTTCGAGGATAATAATTTTCAAAGATACTAGGTCGAACCCCAAATGGTAAGGAATTACCTGATGTATGATTATTTTTACAAAATAGATCGTAGGTATCAAGAAGCAATAAAATGCAGGGGCTATGCCCTTGACGGTATTTCACATCGATTGTTCATATCATATGTATAAAAAGGGTGTTTATTAAGTACTAGAACGAACTTCAAATGGTTTATCTTTGACTAATTTCTAGATAAAAAGTTCATATGAACATGATGGGTCCGCAACGGCTGGGTTTTTGAGATACAGATAGTCAAAAAAAACATTTCAAACTAGCAAAAAACCGAATACTCAAAGTGGATTGCAATGGTTACAAATAGAGATAGAAATAGAGAGAAACTCAGTCATTACCACAATAGTTCATAAAATGAACTGAAATGGTAGATAACTGGAGAAAAACTACTTTCCTGGCTATATAATATGCCATGCAGAACATTGGATTACATCCTCCCGAAATCTATGCAATAATTCGTATAGACGAATAAAATCGCAAGTGTTTCCTTCCTGAACGCAGAGCTGCGCCTAAGTGGTTCTGAAACGCGTGACTACCTGCAGACTGGTTGCGAGCTGTTGGCTCTCATCAGTACAGGGCTGTCCCAGATAGCTTCTTGACCGCTATCTGGTGCGAACCAGAGCCAACATAAACACGTCTCAGCATTTATACCCCACGGGACGTTGAACGCCTCGTGGGGTATATACCTTTATAAATGCAGAAGTAGGAAAACCCAAAGGCAGGTAATAAGTGGGGTGTACTTACTCAAACGGAAGTGACGTCTGGGGTGAGATTACCAGCTTTGACATGACAGGTAGTATGAATGAAATATGACCTAGAATTGCGAATTGTGACAGTTTTCACCCTTTAGTGGGTCGGTTAACTATGTGCTTTTGTTCCGCTGTGCTTTTTGTGTCGGACTATGAAAACCTTTTAGTTTCATTTGTGCAACGAATTTGTGCATTGTGCTCGTATTAAATAATTTTGATTCCTCAAAATGACATACGCCCACGTGTATGGAAATAACGAAGTGATAGATATGCTTCTAATTTATGGGTAAACGCAACAAAATTCTGAGGCCACCTTCCGCCTTTGTGCATAACGGTTTCCTAATTGTGTTCATCCCCGTGGTCGCAGAGGTTTGTCGCTCATGTCCAAAGAGTCCGCGATACAGGTGAAATATGCATTCACAGAGGCCGAGATGCCGGTAGGAATAGAATAGATCTCTCAGAATTATAAACATAGAACAACAAACTTTGGACATTTTCGAAAACGATCCAACCTCAAGTACCCGCGGCATTGGTCTTCAGTTAGAGGTTTCGAATGGAGTTGTCGGGTGGACTTTGAATGAGGACATGCAGCATCTCTTCCATTATCAGCGTGTGCAGTCGTTGCAGCCAGAAAATTATACACAAAGGATACAATTCTGTGAATGGATCTTAGGTCAACATAAAGCAAATCCAAATTTCCTGATTGAAATTCTTTTTACTGATGAGATAACATTCACCCGAAATGGTATTTTCAATCATCATGATCATCACCACTGGGCAGTTGAAAATTCACATGTGACTAAGCAAACTAACTTTCAACATCGCTTTCCGATCAATCTATGGAGTGGAGTGGTGAACGTAGTTCTAATTGGACTTCATGAGTTGCCGCCAGGAATGAATGGACTTTCCTAGTTGGAATTTTTGCAACATGATCTATAGATACTATTTTAGAAGATTTGCCATTGGGACTTAGTCAAATAATGTTCTTCATGTCATGTTGAAGCTCCTAGCCATTACTGTGCAATAGTTCGGGAAATGGATTGGTCGTGGAGGGCCTGTGTACCGTCGTCACCAAGATATTCTGAGAGTAAAAATTAACGATGCGGTTCAAGTAATGCGACAACAAGGTTATTTTCAGCAGGCTTGCGAATCATTACTACGCCGTGCGAGAAATGGGTGGCGCTAATTTTAACACCTCTTGTGAACTAAAATCGGTGCATCTCAAGATGAAATGGATGAAAAGATAAGTACATGAGCTAGCAACAGTGCGGCAGTTGTGCGAGAGAGCACTCTGTACAAGGGAACCAAACCAGTGCTTCCAAAACTATGGTGAGTCAAATGACCAAAATTTTGAGAATTTTCAATAGCTCTAGAAATGTTTTTTGTTGCCATTTATTGTGTCATAATGTGTGATCGAATACCCTATTCAATTTATTACCCCAATTTCGGTAACACCCTGTATATCAACAGATTTAGGTGGACCACTGTATTTTCGTGCTTTTCTAGGCTTCACAGTATTATTTACAATTTTCCAAACTGTACTGTCAGGAACGCTGGTTAAAGTTGATGTTTCCAATAATAAAAAATGTTTTTCATGGTCTCGCTCTATCAAATAAACACTTCCAACAACTATATTTGCTTGAACAGGCAGACATGTTCGGCTACTGCCTGAAAAGGCTTTTGCACTGGACATCTTCGAACACAAACAACAATATCACTGCAGAACTTATTAATAAATAACAGTATTATATTATTCATCTCGAAACTCTATAGGCACGTGATGTTATAAGCATATTACGCACGAATGGGAAATTTTCAACACACATTACGTACTATACTCAACCTACGGCCATTTATTGCAACGAATGGTGAACTTTTTTATTATCATTTTCAGAAAAAAAATATTCTTCCTGAAAAAATCTGTAAGGTATGTCAAGAAATATTAATTTTGCTCAAGAGTGAAGTAGGTACCTTTAATTCCGACAATATCGAAAATTGTTATAGAGAAAATTTGACTTTGATTGAGAACAACGTTCAAATATCCATCAATGACATCAATCTACAATGAAAATGAGGTTCTGTTTTTACTATTTTGAGATCGATTCATATGGGAAACTTTTTTATAATAAATTCTAGGGGCAAAAAGTCATACACTTCAAATAATATTCGACAATGCTTAAAACCGAGGATTCAAATATCTGCTATCAAATTTCTTCAGTCGTATATGAGGTTGGTGTGTCAATAAATATGAATTTTGCTCAAAGTAAATAATAAAACCTGATTTTCATCGTGAATATATGTTATTGGATATTCTAACTCAGTTTCCAATTTAAGTCAACTTTTCTCAATGATAATTTTCTATATTCTCGAGAATAAAGATTCTCTATTCTTGAGCAAAATTAATATTTTTTGACATACCTCGTATACGACTGAAAGAATGTTGAATCTGATTTTTGCATTTCCGATTCCAAGCCTTGCAGAACTTTCCATAAGGAATATCTCATGTTCCTGAAATAAATAATAAATAAGTATTTCATTCGTTGCCAACTTTTCAGATTTACTGTACAATTATGAATATATAATAATTACTTAGATGTGTCCAATCATATAACATTGGAATATCTTCATTTGATGAGGATGTATATTACTATAATATGTGAAATAGCATAATTGAACTGTTCGTTTTGTTTACGAAAATTGTGCGATTTGCTTACTCTGCGTAATGAGTTGATTACTGAGGCTGTGTATCGTGTGTTTTTGCCTACAGTGTTCGTAAATTGTAGTATTTTGTGCAACAATAGTTATTTTCAAGATTATATCTCGAGGCTTCAGATGAGGGGTATAAACCACGCTAAATGATCGATTAATCACGGATTGTCGATCTGTGATTTATTTAAAATATTAAACACGTTACCATGGCAACACGATTTCTTAAACACATTACCATGACAACGCAGTTCATCAAACACAGCTTCAGTAATTTGAGACATGTCTGGCCTGTCAATTGTATTAACTGTCAACTGTTATTTTCGAATTTTGTATCAGAATTATTCAAACAATATTTGTTTGTATCAGAATTCTTCATTAAAAATATATGCGAAAAGTAGACGAAAGTGAAATCTAAGAGAATGTTCTGGTACTTGCATATTTCCAAGAAGTGTAAAAATGAAGCATCCATCTTTGAGAACAATAATTATTCATTTCGATGGACTGGACACATCTACAACCAATATC